TAAGATGCCGTGTGACCCGTCACAAATTGACTCTTCGGTTTAAAATTCAAAACTGACTTTTATTTTTTTATCATAATTTTAAAAGTTTAGATCTTCCTAAATATACTAGATATAACAGTAAAATCTAAATACAAGCATAACTACTGGCTACCTAGCAAAAATATAGTATTCTTGTTTGGGTGCCGTCACACCATGCACATCTCGTGTGACACCCCCCCTGTTACCAGGGTACGTGTAACCCGTTACACCCTTCCCCATTAGGTTTGAGAACGTTTACAGCTCCAATCGATTATTGCCTCAACAAGGCTCGCGTGTCCGTTAGACATTGCAGCTCAATTTGTTGGAATCTAACAGCTTCCTTGCTCAATGAGCCCTGTGTCCACGACATAAAAATCACCGAGTCTCGCTGGTTCTGACAGCGATCACGGGTTGATCCCAGCTTCGTTTCGCGCACGCGGTGCGATGTCGGACAGTGCGTCCGCGGCACTGGGGAATGTACATCCTAGGCTCAATGAGCACGAGCGTCGCGCGTTGCGCACACTATCAATGACGAGTGACCTCGTTGAGGATGTGGAGGAGGTCGACTACGAGTCTGACACTCCTTTTCCCGCATGGGATGTCGGGGAAGGCGAGCTGCGCCAGCAGCGTAATACGAGCCCTGCTCGCGCTTTGCGGACCCCATGTCCGTTCCCTGAGTTCTCGGCAGCCGAGGAACGTAATGTAATCACCAATGACCTCAACGGAGCTCATAGGTGGCACGTTGAAGCTGCCCACAGGGCGGCTATAAAGCGCGCCCATCCACGGCCGGTCATTGACCAGATCCCGTTGTGGAAGCGAAGGATGCTATAACTCGATCGTTACGCGTCCACATCATCTGGCCCCCAGCCAGAACGGAAGATGAGCTTGCCAAACGGAAGGCTCTTTGAGCTCGATTCTTGGTTCCACAAAAATTTCCGTTGGAATGCACTCGTCGGAGTGCTCAACGAGGTGGCTATCGTGTACACGCAACGCGGACAATACCTGTAGTGTTCGCCCCTGGCGAAAGCATTACAGATGACAGAGCGCTCTTTGAGCGATGGGTGTAACGGCACCGAGATCCTTCCTCAGTATATAACCTAAAGTCGAGCCACAAGGAAGTGGACATGCGTGTGGAGCGACACCTCAGATTTAGAGTTGCCAAACTCAAGGCACGCCGTCGACTTCCTTCGGATTGCCGCCCTACGACGTATAGGTTAACCCTAATGCCCTCGCGAGCTCTGTGTCGTCAACCGCAAGAGCTCAGGACCACTGCTTGAGTTCAGCTCATGACCATCTTACCTCCCTGGCTATCGCCGGGAAGCGCGGGGCGTCTGATGACGCGGGACGTCCTGATCTTTCCGATTAAAAGGGTCCACGGCGACTGGGCAATCTTGCCGAAGTGCCGCCTCAAACTCCCACGAGGTTTTGGAGTCGGGATATCCCCGCCACTAAACCAGATATTTGGTAGAACGCTGGTGACGACGTCGTCCAACAAGACGTTCCACGTGATAGTGGACGTCACCATTCTCATCGAGAAGAGTCGGTGGCG